AACTTTCAGCAAACACAGAGGGGAGTTGCTGGACCACAGCCGAGACATTCATACACAGCCGCTACTGCTGCCAGTCAGCACTTCCTCGTCTCGGGTGAGTCACACACAATGACTTCCTGTTTCTAACTGAAGCCGCTGCAGCTGTTTTCTTCCTTACATGGCAACAAAGCTCTTGTGGTAGAGGTGTGTGTGAGTGGATAGCAATCATGACCTCATTCAGCTTTTTTTATACTTTACTATCACACATTGAGGCTAATAGACAGAAACCAACTTCAATGCAGTCTTGCCTTGAAAGTTTTTATTGTTGCAGCCGTGCATGTGAGCAAGTTTAAACAGATCAGTTGCAGCTCGAAGGAATATCACAGCTGAAATCAAAGAACACCATGGGAAAAACTGCTGACCTCTCAGAGATGGCCTACATGACCAGTTTAGTAAACTGGAACATTTCTGCTCTTAAAATATGATGCCACAGTTTCAGTTATCCTTTTCCAAGACGTGCAGGCACCCTGGGTTCTTTGAGATGTGAATGTTAAGCATGTGCGAGATGTGAAAATGGGTATTTAAATGTGAAACCGCTCAGATGTGACTGTTGGCGAGGCCCTGCGTCTGTCTGGGCAGACTCAGAGAAACATTTTCCAGACTCTCTGTTTATGCTGCTCCCTCTCTCACTATGTGTGTATCGTACCTCATCAGCTCCATGCTCCTGCAGCTCCTTGTAGAACTTCAGGGAGATGCTGACCATCACTTTGGTCTTGTCCCCATTAGGGTTTGAGATGTGGTATAAGACGCCATCAAAATCTGCGGCAGAGATGAATATCATTAAAGCCTGCAGGTAATTAAAGGCTTCAAGTCCCTCTCTTTAGTCCTGGCAACCTGAGGCACTGGCACATTTGTATTTTTATAAATGTGGCCTCTTAACTGGTACCCTAAAATCATGCCAGATTATTTGTCAGTTTCACATGAGACAAAACTGTGTCATCTAACAGCGATTATTCCCAGGGCTGACTGCATAATAGACTATAACTGTCATGTGGACAGCAGAAACAAGCACGTTCTAGGTCAAAGTCACTATCACTTGCAGCAGCAGTCTTAAACCTTAGTAACAGTCATGGTACTATAAAAATCAGGGAAAGTAAGTTATTACTGAGCAGATGGAAAACTGTTGACTGATTTTGACTGGTTTATTTATCAGGTAGGTAAGTAAGTATTCTTCTGAAGAAAGTAAAGAGAGGTTACCCTGGTACCGCCCAAACAGCTGACACACCTCTCTCCATTGGTTCTTATATAAACACTATCCTAAATACTGTACTCCAGCTGTGAGGTAGGCTAGGTTTCTCCTTGCAGAACTAATCAGCTGTCAAACATATTTAAACTACTGTACTAATTTTAAATGTTGGATCATGCTGGCAGACTGCTCAGCTTTAAAGAGCATGGTGTGATTTATTAGCCATTAACTTAGTGTTTAAAACTTCCTGTTCCAAACTACACGAAAAAAATGTCGGTCCAGGTTAACATATCATCATCATTTCTAAATCAACATCTACAACCATGCAGTTAAGCAACTGTTTGGTCGAAGCACTGCCATTAACAAACATACAGTTACAAGTACTTGCATAAAATGATGTGATCTCACCTGCAAATGTCACATCGACAGCCTCTGGTTTGGTTCTGTGAGGAGAAAATCAAATGAGGAGACGCATGAGGCATAAAGACCACAGTTTGTGTATAATACACGTAACATTGTACAGTAAGTCTGTGTAAAGCTAATTTGACCAACTTCTAATTGCTGCAGACAAATCCAGCAGCTGCTTCGTAGGCAGTGAGTATCAGAAAGATTCTTACAGGACTAGAGCTGAAACCAGTTGATCCATTACAAAAACAACAGCAACAAACATCACCAGTATTGTGGTCAATTAATCCATTAGATGACTGATAAAAATAATCAGCAACTATATTGATCAGCAGTTAATCACTGGGTAGCCGTTCAAGCAAAAACTGAAAAATTACCAAATGTTCCCTTGTTCCAGGCTCTAAAATGACAGGGTGGGCAAACATTTTAACACACCAACATGGACTCTGGGAAGCTGCTTTTGGGTTTGTTTGTTTTTTTTAATCATTTTGACATTTTATAGACTAACAATTAATAGAACAAACAATCAGCAGATTAATCAACAATGAAAATAACAGGACACTAACAAGAGTATCTGATGCTGGTATTACTACAACAATTGGCAAAATAATCAATCAGTTGATCAGTAAACTAGCATCTGCATTATTGCGCTATGCTGTAACATTTTATAAACCAAATAATCAGTACAACAATGAGCAGGTTAAAAATCAGATGACATCTTAAATTCAGACCGTTTGTTTGTTGTTGCCTTAAACACTCACACTTTAAAGTAAATTGTCTACTTTGACAATCATCTTGATAATATCGTCCGTTTTAAAACGGTAAGACACTATTTCGGGGAAGTCCAGTAAAAAATATGGCCACATTTAAAAGGTGGATGCTGCAGCAACTTGTCCAAGCTGCGTACTGTGCCTGCTCCGAGGAGCTGCAGCCGCTGTGCTCACTTGACTCAGCTTGACTGGAGGAATGCGGAAGTGATGGAAGACGGGGGCGATGGTTAGCTAACAAGTGGCCTCCAACTGGTTCTGAGGTGCCGTGGAAAACAAATAAACGGTCGCTATAAAGTGGAAGCACAATCTTACATACGATGCATCTGTACACCTTGGTTATTGTCGGGTATGAGCAGCTTTGGTTATATTGTCTCAAACACTCCCCAATAATGTGTTTCAAAAGCGGCGAATCCTGGTTAAATCCCTCTCTTTGTGATTTGACATCAGTGTGTTACACCCATTAATAAGGCAGAAACTAGCTGCAAGCACCACCAACATTAATGTGGTTTACTAGCGTTAGCTGCTTTCCATGCCCTGCAAAACGTGAAACGTTTCAAAACAGGTTTGTAATATTCATACGACCACTGGTAGCAATATAAACAAAAAAGTTTTGGATTTTACGTCTACGAAGTGAGAGCGAATCACCAGGGCAGATGACATTCATTTGGGTTACAATATTTGGTACAACAGTGTCCGTCCAGACACACCCCAGTCACGGCAGATCAGCCGTAAACTAATCTATTGTGTATATTTGGTACCTTATACACGCAATCAGACTACCCAGCTGACTTTGCAAAGCTGTAGGCCTTTATCAGCTGCACCTGAAATCTATCCAGCATCATTAAATACAGCGATCATCCTTAGTAAAATGCTAAAGGGGAAGCTAGCTGGCATTAGCAATGCTAGCCAGGTGTAACAATGATTTCTCACCCGTTGGATGCGCCGTCGAACTTCAACGTCAGCGTCTCTTCTATAATGCGGTTATTGATTTCTAACAGAATCATCGCAGCAGACGCCGAGGTCAAGGAAAGTGGGGAACGATCGGTGCTATTTGGTGGGATTAACCTCTTTGTGTTAAATTCTGCAAATTTTTCCTCCTTTGACAGACCAAACCGCGTCCGTCGAGGCTTCTTCCGCCTGTCACTTCCGCGTATTTTACACTGAGGACCCCAAAAAATGAGGATGCCCGCGTTGTTGCCTGTAATACATTTTTTTATGGCAATCATGCAGTGGTTGAAAACAAAACAATAACAAAAATAGAATTATAAGAGCACCCCCCACCCCACCTCCAAATGAATTATTTTCATGAATGAATTTAAAAAGTGTATCTAAAATCTTTAAGACTAATGAAGGGAACCAAAGCTCAAAAGCTGTATGACATGTTAAAACATTTTCCCAGTGAATTAGATGATTAAGTTAAATTAAATCTAACTCACCTTAAGTATATATTAATTTATCCACTGTTTATTAAATTTATTTCATTTTATTTAAATTACTTATTTATGGTATCCTAACATTGTTAACATGCCTTTTCTCATGTTATTGCTTGTTATTGCATGTTATTTGCTTACAAATATGTAACAGACAGAGAGATGATGGCAGTGATGCAACACATGCTGCCAAGTGGATTATTGTGTCTTTGACCTGCAAGTGAAAACCTGAATTGAGTGATTTATGGAGACAAAGGGGAGTGCATGTAGATACTTTTGTGTCTGGTTACACATTTACTTTGACTGTAGGATGGAGGAGGAGGAGGTACTGTCATTACTGATGTGTGGTTAGCATTTTTCCTTGCATGCTCACTGATGTCTGTCACACCATGTGACACCTGGGACTTGAAATTCAGACTAAACAAAATAACAGACTGACACATGCAGATATAATTGCAGCAGCCAGAACATTCAGTATTTATCTAATTTCCAGAAAGTGTTGCAGCTGACATCCTGACCTGCCGGTGTGTATCATCTTACCACACACACCCGATTACCCAAATGTGCTGGGTCACATCTCATGTGGTAATTTTCTGTGTTGGTCAGAGTTACAACTAGTTAATCCAAAAATATGCACTTAAGACAAAAAGATACACTATGTTAAATGTATCTATCCACCCCTTGCGGATCCTCACCCCCTGGGTGGCAACCAGTGCCATAAGCATCCAGTGTTCTTTTTAGAATTGATGATGAATTACTCTAATTCCCAAAATAAGATTCATTCTAATCTCATTTTGTTGTTGGTTCTATATAATATTGTTATTTTATGAGTTATTGTATGATCATCAGTATTGTTTGATTGTGACAGGAGCACTATAATGCTTTTATGGATGATTAAATTTAGCCTTGAGCCTTGAAATGTAATGAGAGGTGAACTATATCATTTTCTATTATTCTAATTGCTTAATGACCAGGCCTACCTTGTAACTCATAATATGAGGCTATATATTGTGATTTAATAAATTAAATGAACACAAATAAATTATAAAAAGTACAGTGCTCCTTTTAGTTTTATGGCATTAGTATTATTGTTTTTTGACAGTCTTCCTAGTTCAGGTCCTGTAATTCTCATAAGACCACAAGCTAGAAAATCTACTGCAGCAAAAACATGTGATGATGTACATATACAGTAAAGAAACAGGATATTGGGTCAGCACTACCTTAAAAAACCCCATATTGTATCACTCTTCAGTACAAAGTCATTTGGGTGTCAAGCTGTCATTTGGGAAAACTACTCAGCCTGTGCAGAAGGTGAGTGCCTGTGCTAGTTTATTCTCATTGATGAAAACTAGAGAGATGGAGTCAGTTCATGTCTACATGACTTGTTTCTTCTTCTGCTACTGTATCATTACGGTTTAAGACTTACCATTAAAACTGTAGCCACCATAGCCGCAGTTATATAAACTCACTTTAAGGCTGCACAATGCAACTTTTGCAGCCCTGGTTTGTGGGAAATACCTGTTTGTCATTTTTTAAGCTCAAAGTAATACATGCCTTTTCTGTTGTTTTGCCTCTTTGTAAGTAATTTTTTTCCATTGTTAGATTTTTTTTACATTGTCAACACTGAACAAGAAACAAAGCAAAGTTGCACTTGCCTTCTGTTGAAATCTGAACCATCTTAAATATGGTAGATACTGACAGTTTTCGTACTGCTGTGTGCTAATATCAGTCTGTTTTCCATCTGTAGTCATGGAGTCGATCATTTACACCTTCAGTGACAATTTTTTTGATAATGACACCACCTACATCAATCTCACCTACTTCGATCCAGATCAGAAGACGTTTGCATGTGAGAGCAAACATTTTGAGCCTACAGCAGCTGTGACCCTGTGTCTCATCAACATATTCATCTTTTTCCTGGCAATACCAGGAAACCTGTTAGTGGGCTGGGTGATCACCAGCAGCAGACAAACCCTGACTCCATCAGATGTCTACTTGTTTCATCTAACAATAGCAGATGGTCTGATGGCCCTCACTGTTCCTTTCTGGGCTGTAACTGTGCTCCAGGGATGGATCTTTGGAGACTTCTTGTGCAAACTCCTCAGCCTCATTTTTGAAGCAAACTTCTACACCAGTATCATCTTCCTGGCCTGTATTAGTGTTGATCGTTATCTCGTGATTGTGCACGCCAGTGAGACTCTCAAGAGCCGGCAGAGGATGTGCAGCAGGCTCCTGTGTGCAGCAGTGTGGGCCCTCGGTTGGGCCCTCGCTCTACCTGCACTTTTCAATGATGCCTTCGAGCTTCATGGTGATCCAGGGAGGATGACTTGCTCTGAAAAGTTTGACATGGGTAGTGCCACTTCATGGAGGCTTGCAACTCGTGGGTTCCGCCATATTTTTGGCTTTTTTCTCCCTCTGGGTGTCATGATCATCTGCTACACCATCACCATTGCAAGGCTGCTGCACACTCGAGGTTTCCAGAAGCACCGGGCCATGAGGGTAATCATAGCTGTGGTGGTTGCCTTTCTGCTGTGCTGGGCACCGTATCATATAACCATGATGGTAGACACACTCATGAGAGCTCGTATGATACCGTTTGACTGTGCTGTAAGGAGGTCAGTGACCATGGCTTTGAGTGTAACCAACACTCTGGCTCTGCTCCACAGCTGCATCAACCCTGTCCTCTATGCATTTGTGGGAGAGAAGTTCAGGAAGAAAATGATATTGCTTTTTCAGAGGAAACTCAGACAGGAGAGGGTTTCACTGTCAAAGTTTAGCAGGTCAACATCTCAGACCTCAGAAGGGCAAGGAGCTGTTTTCTGAAACCTCGGTGGCCAATTTATATCAAGGATTTTTAGTCCAGAAAATGCTCCTGCACATATAATTCATAAGACAGAAAGCTATGACAACTACAAGATATGTTGTTCCGTACACACTGTAAATTCTCTCATCAGGTTTAAAAGAAGATGAATTATAGTATAGGTCCCTTTTTTCTCTAGGTCAAAAAGAAGTAATTCCCATCTGAAGCCCATAGATCTTTGATAATCTTTCTGTTTTCAATATATTGAGTATTCTCTTGTGAATAATGTGGTATGCTGCTGCCATTTGGGGAGGAGACAGCAGTGCAGTGGGTAGAGCAGTCGTCTCCCAACTAAAAGGTTGAAGGTTCAAATCTCAGTACCAGCAGTCCACGTGTTGAAGTGTCCTTGGGCAAGACACTGAACCCCCTGCCCCCGATGGTTAGAGCCATCAGTTGAGGTGGTGCTCCAGATGGCTGCCATTAGTTCTGTACCAGAAACAAATTCCTTGTGTGTAACATACTTGGCCAATGAAGGTGATTATTATTATCTGTTGAGCTCTTTGTCATCTGCATCCAATAATGAAACCTTGGATTTCCCACCACTGATTTGATCAAGTCTTTGTTTATATTTCTCAGTATATTGTGCATCTCTTGTAATGTATCTGCTTTTTACTGTTTTAATTTATATATATATATATATATATATTATATATACAATAATTCAAGCCTTGATTTTATGATCTAGATCAGCTACATGCTGTAGTACACCTTCCAATACACTTCTGTATTTATATATGATTTAAGTTTATATTAGATTAATACATTTTACATATTGCAGTCTTTTTTTAGCAAAAGTGCAAAAATGGTCCAGTTCCTATTTGCTGTACATTTTATGTTTTTATTTCCTAACCAATAAATAAGTCATCTGTATTATATGGATTTAATTGAGTTTTTGAGATAACAAGATATCAACATTTGTGACAAACTTATAAAAGATAACTACTACAGTATAGTGCATGTTGTTGAAATGGGAGGACAATCAATACCATAAATTCACCTTTGATAACTCAGGCGAGCATTATTCTTGACCATAAAAACTGCCATCTATAGAGTATTTATGGTCAAAAATGAACTTTTTAATAAAATTTTGCTTTCCACTTTTTATGTTTCTACAGCAACAATGTGACCATTGAGAAATTGTCTCTTTTCACATTACCAACAAATTTGATTATTATTGAACACATAATATAACCTAATAGCAATAAAGGTTATAATATCTAGGTAATTATAATATAAATATTAGATTATAACATAAGACATTCATTCATCCATTCTTCTTCTGCTCTTTCTTCTTTTTCTCCTTCTTAGTAACTAGTAGTAGTACCAGTTGTAGTACTGTGGTCGTAGTAGTAATAGTTACACTGTCAACACGCTGTAAAGTTACTTGTCCAGCAGATGGAGAACATGAGGCGCAAGAGCACATACTCAAAAACAAAACGTGAATTGTATGAATTCTTCAGGCTTTGCCTCTTTCCATCCTGGTACATTGATCTTATTCTGCATGGACTAAAGAAAATCTCTTCATCTTTGTTCCAAACGTTAAAGTAAATAAAGTTTTGACATGCTTTGTTGCTAAACTAAGACCGCAGAACTACATTTCCCAGAAGTCAACAGTTATAGCGCCATAAACGAAGAAGAAAAAGATCGGGCACGAGGTAAGTGACTATACCCTCAATGTTCAGCATCCTTACAAACAAGTAAATAGTTTTTTTTTCTTTTTTACTGAAAAACCAACTTGCTGTATAGATGTGCTGTCCGTTACTTGGTGTAAACATTACGTTTTACATTTGTGCCAGCAAAAGCTACAATAGTGGAATATTTTATTCTCCTCTATTGTTAGCCAACTTGCTAGGTAGCTTGAACTTCGCACCTGGTTTATCATGCATTGTGTACTGCAGTGATTTCACAAAAGTCTGACTCGCTGACTTAGAAAAGAGCCCAACCAAAGCACATTGTCAGCCATCATAATAGTAAAACTGGGCTTTTCGTTTAGGCGTTATCCAGTGAGTGACTTATGTAACTTGTTTGCCATGAACATGTCTCAGTAGGAAACAAGCCCCAGCTTGTCACTTTAGAGCAAACTGTTTATGTTTGTCTGGTTTTCGTTAAGTAGAACCACACAGACAGAAGATATAAGTAACTAGTACTAACTAGAAATATAACTAAAACCTAAGCTGCAGCAATCATTCAATAAGTTGATTAATGCTTCTTTTGATGACCAATTATTAATCATTTGCTTTCAAGTATAATGTCACAGTTAACTGAATTCCTTTGAGTTTTGGACAGTGAAAACACATCTGAAGACATATTGGACTCAGAAACTGGTGGACATTTTCAATGTTTACTGTCAGTTTATAACTCAGTTTTCTTACTTGTATGTTAGAAAACAGAATCAAGATGCAGCTAATGATTTTTATTATCGTTTAATAAGCTGCTTGCTTTTTCCTCATAACTAATGAATCATTTTGTTTTTGACTATAGTTTAGGAGACTTATTCTGACTGCTTGTTTCATTCAGTCAACATCTAAATTATTCAGTTTACTGTCAAATGTGACAAAAACCTGGAACCTCTGAATATTTGGCATTTTTGTTTGAAGCAATCCACCAATTATGAAACGGTTTCTATTGTACCTGTTGATTACTCATCTCATTGAATATTCTGTGGTTTTGCACAGCTGTTCAGACGAACACTGGGAGATTGTGACTGGCATTCGCTGTTTTATGCTCATCATGTTTGAGTTACAGCAGCAAGTTATAGTCTGCAGCAAATGTGTCTTGTGCTGTGATGTCAACCGCAGTGACTGACTTAATTGAGAACATTGTTGTCTTTTCAGGTTAACAATGTCATCACACTCAGCTGCTGGGTATCCTGCCGTCAGACAGTGTCACTGCAGGGAATGAAGCAAAGGTCAGATTTCCTCATATACAGTGGGTACGGAAAGTATTCAGACCCCCTTAAATTGTTCACTCTTTGTTATATTGCAGCCATATGCTAAAATCATTTAAGTTCATTTTTTTTCCTCATTAATGTACACACAGCACCCCATATTGACAGAAAAACACAGAATTTTTGACATTTTTGCAGATTTATTAAAAAAGAAAAACTGAAATATCACATGGTCATAAGTATTCAGACCCTTTGCTCAGTATTTAGTAGAAGCACCCTTTGGAGCTAATACAGCCATGAGTCTTTTTGGGAATGATGCAACAAGTTGTTCGCCCCTGCATTTGGGGATCCTCTGCCATTCCTCCTTGCAGATCCTCTCCAGTGCTGTCAGGTTGGATGGTAAACGTTGGTGGACAGCCATTTTCAGGTCTCTCCAGAGATGCTCAATGGG